CTAGTGGGTTTGAACCACTGACCTTCTAGTTAGCAATCAAATGCCTTACCCACTGTGCCACTGGAGCTCCTTAAATCATATAATCCATTCACATAATTTAGGAAATAATACAAAGATCATAGATTTTGATGTCAGATAGAGCTGGGTTTGAATCATGGCTCTGCCATTTACTCTGTAAGATAGGTCAAGTTACTATCTGGTTCCCCATCTTTAAAATGGGAGATGTTAATACTTTTCTTGCAAATTTATTGTGAGGATTAAATAAAATAATTTATGTAAAGTGTTCAGTAAAGTAACATGGACATAATAGTTGCTCAATAAATGTTACCTTCTCTGATCTTAAGTTCCAGTCCAATGTGCTCTCTATATATCAGTCAACAAAAAGATATATGAAAGGTATTCCAATGTATTGTTTTCTCTGTTTTTTATTTATTTTCCTACTATTAAGTATTTTCTTATATTTCTTAAAGTCAGAGCATACATTTTACCAACAATGTTTAACCTCTAAGACAGCAACATTTGGTCACTGAGAACACCTATTAAATTCCTATTTTCTTATCACTTATGTTTGTTGAAGAAAGGTAGGAGTTATAAAAACCAATGCTCTCTTCCTAAATCTTTCACAGTCTTTTAAATTGGATTTTTTTATATCAGCGGGAGCTCTGGTGGCATAGTGCCCAAGGCCTCTGACTGCTAATTAGAAGGTTGGGGGTTCAAACCACCAGCCACTCCTTTGAAGGAAGATTGGGCAAATCTATGTCTGTACAGATACCACATTGGAAACCCAAGGAGGGGTCGCTGTGAGTCGAATGGACTTGAAGGCAGTGAGTTTGGTTTAAGTCAGTAACTTGACCACTGGGGCTTCCTTTTACATCATTTTTAAAGATAGGGATAAGAGAATAATTATCTTCCTATCAAAATTGTTTTCTGGAAAAGTATGAAGGTCAGATTTATTTTACTAGTTTTTAAGAATTTCAAATGCCTTTCTTGGTATGAAGGGACAATCAGTTTGACATTCTTATTACTACTTTCAGACACAATTGGTTTCTAAATCTAGTGCAAAAATCCTCCATTTCACTCTGACCCCATCTAATAAAATATGTGATATGCTTTGAACCCTCACTATGTGTCAGACAGTACCATGAGTACTTTATATGTTTTGTCAACATACCTATGGCCTTGGTAATAGGTCACACAGCTGGCAAGGGCTAAAGCTTGACTTTGGACCTAAATATCACTTTCTAGAGCCAGGGCACTAAACCATCCATGGCTGAATCCTTCTCTTTCAGTCCTTTGGCTGTCACTT